CGATGAAGTGCTGACGATGAAGTGTTTTCTGCTGCGGGTTCACCTGCAGTGTTCTGTCGCTTAGGTGCGTATTGTGCATGCGCCTAGCCTGTACGCGCCTCCTTGCACGAGCCGTTCTCGCGCGTTTTCCTGTCGTCGAGGACGATAAGCCATTGCGTTACGCTGTTCCTGCATGTACTTCCTAGGTCAGCTTTATCTCTGTATGCGTGTCTCTTGGACGCGCGTCGCTGGCAAGGGTGGAAGAGGCATGATGCTTCTGCATTCTTGCACGTACTTCTTGTCTTCTTTTGCCTTTTCGTATTACTTTATTACGTGTTTTGTAGGTAGTTCTAAATTATTTATCAATTACAAGCTGCAAATGGTTATACTTATTTAGAAACAATTGAAAAATGATGTTGCTCTACATGTATACGTATTAGTGCCTATATGGGTTTTTTTTTAAAAGTGTCTTTTATTAGTTGGTTGACCTACATATGGAGACGTGACAATAATAATTTTTCATAATTACTAGCTGTATCTTTTTTTTATTACAACCTATGGTACATTATAACCTATGGTAATATGACAATTAATTAACAATGTTCCGTATAAGGACCATTAATTTCAAATTGCATTATATATTTTTTTTTGTTATAACAAGTTGCATTATAATTTCAAGACTTTTCTATCACAAGTCTCTAGACTGCATCCGACAATAAGCACATGCCAACTCCGAGCTCCTGACGAACGAGCCGATGACTTATGCACATGTGCATAAAGAAAGTGCAAGCGCGCGTGTTGAGGCACGCGTGGAGGAATACACCTACGTTGCGATACTTTGCCCTTGATAAGGAAGTGCGCGCGCGAGCCGCGCCTGCAGAATGGCGCGTACAAGCGCCGTGTCTGCGTACTGACTTATCTGGGGACTCACCACCGCGATATGGCGGCGATGCCATAATCAGTCTTCGTTTAGTCTCATCGGTATGGTCGCGAATCACTCTTCTTCCGAATTTTACCAATCTAATTTTACTAGTTAATCAATTGCAACCATTTTATCATTTTTATTTGAGAATTATAAATACTAACGGCTTCGTCTGGATATGTATTCTATGCGAAACTAAGTTACACATTCTTTGCGAAACCAACTAGAATCTCTGGTTATTAACAGTGTGTACTAAAGGTGTATTCTAACTTTATTCTAGTGTTTAAATAAATTGTTGTTCTTGTTAATTAAGTATGGTGTTTTATGAAGATCTAAACATTTTCTCCGGATTATCCTCATTCCGCTTCCGATCATACTTACCAGCCGTCATCAACAGAGGCAGACTCAAGGAAAGGGATATCCTAGGGGATGACTATTCAGGATTATTGTGAAAAGTCTCAGACACAAACAGGAATTAGTTCTATGGGTCAATATCTGGCAGTGAACACACCAAGTATTAAAACATTCTTGCTATAAGTAAGATCTAAAAGAGACAAATTTTTTGAGGGAGTTAGATTGTACGTCAGGAGGGAAATAAAAGGGCCTCATCTCGAGTAAAATTCTATACTAACCAAAACGAGGCATGTGCCTTGATCGGAGTAAATTAAGAAAGAATGTAAGTTACCAAAGTCTACTTTATTTTTGATCGATATCCACGACGTCACATATTGTTAGAGAAAATTTTAGAGAATTACTAGCGATAGTTTACTACAGATATCAGGTGTGAAAGTCAAAGTCATTCTATACCGAATAGTCACACTGGCTATATCGATTTCAATTGACAGATGTAACGCTGGAAGACAGTGTGTTGATCTGTACAGCACAGTGACATACTCAGTGAATGTCGACCTTGAGGAATACTCTGCTACAGTAAAAATTAAAGACAATAGGGTGATTTTCCAAAATGGAACCATATGCGTATTTACGGATGGTAATTGCATCACGGACGAGGAGGGTAATATCTACTGGTGGATTCATCCTGATTCAGGTTGCAATTTTATACACTACAATATATTGTATGACTGTTCGGCAACCAAATAAACCTCCAGTCAGATGGGGATATTTCCTAACATTTACATGTTCCCTACTGATGACGTTACTTTCGCCTTGGGTAAAAGAACAGAATATCATCTGTGTGGATACACGATGTTGAAAAGCGAGCACTCGAAGGTATTCATACCAGATACTCCCAAGTGCGGGAAATTCGCTACTAAAACGAAACTATCGGTCGAAGGCCTTGATCTGTTCATCTACATCAACTATAAATTTGTCTACCTGGAGAACCATATACCAAACCAAAGACTGCGTTGTACAATGACGTCATCAAACAGAAGTATGAGTTCAAGAAGTAGGTTATAAAGAACGCTTTAACACTGGCTATGCTCCGCCCTGATGAATTCGTATATATGGTAATGTGATAATGGTAGGGTAGGTTACATAGTTGTGACGGCGGGGAAGTAATACAAATAATCAAATGCACGCACGTCGCAGCGAAAGTAAGACAGTCAGAAGAATGTTACGATGAATTCCCGGTGTACCAATAGAAGTCTATATTTGACATCCAAATAGAGAGTATTAGTAAAAACGGGAATCAGTAGGGAATGTAATACTTCATTGCCATCAATATTCTCTATGGGGGGGAGTTGGTATCGATTCACGTTTAAACCGGTTGAAGTTCTATCCCCACCTCCCCAAGTCCTTCGTTCAATGATAAATACTATCTGGAAATATACAGACACGCAACACCTAATGACAAGTGGCATCTATCTACAGCAAAATTTAGAAAATTTAACGCGACTACATTATGTTGTCACCCAAAAACCGAGTCTCCTAAATGCAATAGCGAGAGGAACTACAGGACATCATGTCCTATCTAACACAATATGTTGTAGCATGTTGTAGCTATACAACATACAGTATATAGTTGGTGTTCATACAGTATATAGTTGGAGTCTACACCTGCTAAAGGCTGTTTAGAGCTCGTTAATGCATCTCCTTTAGTGCGAGCATGAATCACTAACCAGTGATGACAGAGGAAAGTGAAGTGATACCAACTCCTACATCCAACCCCCACACCCAACTTCAAAATATCCTATATCAAAGAAAATAATAGTTGCGAGCAGTACTAAGTCATCTGGGAACGCAATATCCTAGTGACTTTCTTGGGGGAACGTGTCATGTCGCTGTATGACTCATCCCAGGTCAGTATAAAATTCTACGTTGAGCCAGAGAAGTATGCAGGATCTCATGCTTCTGATCATAGATAATACATACATGATAGCTTCCTTGTAAGTTTCACATGAGTGTCTTATATTTCAGACCGTGGGTAATATACCTCTTATATTAATCTAAAGCATATATAAGTATATATATATATTCTTACGTTCGGTATTATGAAATTTTTCTTCCTAATCATGGTAGTTAATAATTATTGTGTCGGGCAACATCATTTACATTTTAATTAACCTTTTCTATTACATCACATTAATTACGTTAGCTTATCAAATATCCTAATACCCTCATCTACTTTATTTACTCAATATATCGATAAGTATGTAGTCACTTTAAAAGCTAATATCATCAGTAACGTTGTCATTTCCTTAGACTATATTAATAAAAGTTTGTTACATTATATTGACGGAATATATTGACGGGGTGAACTCCGCCAAGAATATTCAATCCGTCGGTAACCATACCGTCGGTATCATACAGACAATGACATTACTGTCAGTAATGCCACCACGGGTAAACGTAGACTTTGATCTACGTTGATAATAGTTGATAATAGTTAATAGTAGTTAACCGTTGGTAATAACTACTTGTGGGTAACCTCCGTAGATACTTTGTCGGTAACTAATGATAAACAATGAAATATTTCTAGATAATCAACAGCAATAATAATAATGGTAATAGTACTTTATGATTTATAATTATTAGCAACTTAAAACGATAGTTAAAAACATTGAATTTATCAATAATTAATTTTTATTACTTTTATTATTATTAAACCATATTTCCAAATAATAAACATAGCTTTTATTAGATAATAAACAATAACTTAAGTTATATTAAGTTAATTATAAAATAAGCTATTTTTTTTTAAATAATGATGAATTACTTCAATGATTCTGATAAACTATTACCAGTTACGTGAATTAGCAGCGGCTCTCAAATGAGTGGCTTATGCAGAAGTCCTCAAACAATTCTTGGACTATTTATGTATTAGTAACTAATGATCGTAATATTCTCATCCAGCAAATTTAACATTATTCCCTAACTAATAACAATATATCATAATTACCATCTATTTGATACTTATGTAAGGCAATCTGCTGAAACAATTGGTAACATTTTCTGCACCGTGGCACAATTTCTTCTCGAGTAATGTAATTTCTTATCTATCTGTGTTGAGAATAGTACGTTTTCTTGATATTACGCGCTAACTCTTCGATGTTGTTCGTATTATATCTTTGCATCCATTTATTTTATTATTACCTTTTTTATTCTGCGTTGATAGAATACGTTTTCAATGAAATCGGAGTAGATTTCAACTTTTAATGCTTCAACGATGGCCGCATACGGCCGAAGAAATGTATAATATTACGAAATGATGTTAGAAACCTTGAATCCGTTTAAAGCGAAACTTGATTTTTTTGTAATACAGTCTGAAGGATCAGTTGTTAACTTTATCTGAATTATGGCTCTTCTACATTTCAAGTTACATCGTTTCTTACCTATCTGTGTCAAGAATTTTACGTTTCTTTGATATTATGTGCTTATTCTACCTTACATTTCGAATTGTATCGTTGTATGTACTTTATTCTTATAACTGTTTTTATTCAGCGTCGATATAATAAGGTTTCAAAGGAATTGGACGAGATTACAACTTTTCACGTTTCGACGATTGCCGTAAATGGACGAAGAGCCGTAAAACGAGATCGCATAAAAAAACTCGATTCTGATTAAAACGAGTCTTGATTCTTATGTAACTAGTTTACTGTAACGTTTACTGTAACTCTTTTTCGAGTTATTTGGTTTCTTATTTTTCTGTGTCTAAAATCGCAAATTTATCTGATATTATGTGATAATTTTCTGATACTGTTATTATTGTATTCATGCATGCATATTATTTTCTTGTTGCTCTTTTTGTTGATTCTTATGTAACTAGTTTACTGTAACGTTTACTGTAACTCTTTTTCGAGTTATTTGGTTTCTTATTTTTCTGTGTCTAAAATCGCAAATTTATCTGATATTATGTGATAATTTTCTGATACTGTTATTATTGTATTCATGCATGCATATTATTTTCTTGTTGCTCTTTTTATCCTATAAAATCCTTTTTCAATGAAAATGTTTTTTTTGTTATTTCAAAAAATTTCTTGTTACAATAGTGAGCATATAAGATTAAAGATATGAGAAACGTAACGAAATGTTTCAAAAACCTTAAATCTTTTCAAAACAAGGCTTGATACTTATGTAGCGCAGTTTGGAGAAACGTTTGAAAAAATTTCCTGAACGGTGCCAGAACTTCTATAGGATTTATATCGTTTTCTACCTATATTTATCATTTGATGCTATTTGTATTATCTTCTCGCATGCACTTTATTTTTTTGTTATTCTTTTTATTCTGTGTCGACAAACCTATTTTCAAACGAATTGGACGAGATTTCAACTTTTCATGTTTTAACGAAGGACGTATACGGGCAATAAATTTAAGGAAGAAATTTCAAAAACCTCGAATGTGTTTTAAACTAATCTTGATTCTTACGTATCGAAACTTGCTGAAATCTTCGGAAACTTTTTTTGAACTGTGGCACTATTTCTTTAAGAGTTATTTCATTTTTTATCTATTTTTATCGAGAATTGTTCGTTTTTCTGATATTTCGTGCTGTTCGTATTGTATTCTCGCATGTACTTATTTTCTTGTTATTCTCTTCATTCTGCATCGATAGAATTCGTTATCAAAGGAATCGGACGAGGTTTCAACTTTTCTTTCTTTAATGATGGACGTATACTGCCTAAGAAGCGTAAAAAATAATGAAATGTGTCTAAAATACTAAGATCCGTTTAAAACAAGATTTGATTCATATGTAACGCGGTCTGTTGACACGTTTGGTAACATTTTCTGTTCGGAACGGAGGCACAACTTCTATCTGTTTTTTATCTATCTACGTCTAAAAACGTACGTTTTTCTAATATTGCGCGCTATTTCTTCTATGCTGTTTGTACTTTATTCTTGTATGAAATTTATTTTCTTGTTACTCTTTTTATTTTGTGTTAACAGATTTTATTTTCAAAAGAATCGTAACAGATTTCAACAATTTTTTTTTTAAATGATTGCGAATACGGTTGAAGAGGCGGAAAACTTAAGGAAATGTTCTCGAAAATCTCGAATCGATTTAAAACAAAACATGATTTTTATGTAAAGCAGTCTGTTGAATATTTTTGATTCATTTTCTGAAATATGGCACAACTTCTTTTCAAATTATTTGATTTCTTATCCATTTGTGATGAAAATCGCACGTTTACCTGATATTACACGATAATTCTATAGTGCTGTTCTTATAGTATCCTTGTATGCACTTTCTTGTTGCGCTCTTTAATCTACGTCGATAGAATCGTGTATTCAAAGGAATTTGACGAGAATATAAATTTTTAAGTTCCGGCAATGGCAGTATATGGATGAAGAGGCGTAAAACGAAACGAAGTCGCTTAAGAAACCTCACTTCCATTTAAAATGAATTTTGATTCTTATGTAACGAAGTCTGTTGAAACGTTTTGTAACATTTTCTAAAATTATAGCGCACCTTTCATAGGATTTATATCTTTTTACCTATCTGTGTCGAAAATCACAAGTTTATTCGACATTATGCGACAATTTTCCGATGCTTTTTGTGTTGTATTCACGCATGCACTTTATTTTCTTGTTCGCTTTATTCTTCGTCGATAAAATCCAATTTTAAAGGAATTGGACAAGATTTCAAATTTCATAACCGACGATGGCTGTATACGACTGAAAAGGCGTAAAACGAAAGGAAATAATTTAAAAAGTCTCGATTCTCTTTAAAACGATATTGGATTCTTATGTAAATCAGTCTTCTGAAAAAGTTTGGTGATATTTTCTGAACTGTGACACCTTATCTTTTTCAGTTATTTGGTTTCTTATCTATTTGTGTCGAGAATCGCACGTTTATCTGATATTACGTGCTAATTCTCCGTTGGTGTTCGTGTCCTCGCATATTCGATAGAATCCGTTTCAAAACAAATCAGAAGAGATTTCAAATTTTCTTGTTTCGCCGATGGCTGTATTCGTCCGAAGAAGCGTAAAACGTAAATAAACGATATCAGTAACCTAGAATCCGCTCAAAGCGAGGTTTGATATTTATGTAACGCTGTCTGCTAAAATATTTGGTATCATTATATGAATTGTAATACAATTTCTTTTCAAGCCATATGATTTCCTATCTATCTGTGCCAAGAATTGCAATTTTATCAGATATGCGATAATTATCCGACATTATTCGTATTGCATCTATTCATGCACTTTATTTTCTTGTTATTCTTTTTATTCTACGTAGATAGAAAACATTTTCAATCGGACGAGATTTCAACTTTTTATTTTTCGATGGTGGACGTACACAGATGAAGGGACGTAAAATGTATCAAAATGATTTCAAAGATCTTTAATCCATTTAAAGCAAGACTACTTCCTTGTGTAACGCAGTCTGATGAATAGTTTCATAAGATTTTTTGAGCGGTGGCATTACTTCTATAGAATTTATATCGTTTTTTATCTATAAAGTTTGAGAATTGCAAGTTTTTCTGTTATGACACTCCACTTTTCCACTGTTGTTCGCATTGTATACTCGCATGCACTTTATCTTTTCATAACTCTCTTTATCATATGTCGATAAGTACCGTATTCAAAGGAATCGGAACAGTTATCAACTTTTCACGATCGGATGGTGTATATGGTCGAATAGGCGTAAAACGAAACGAAATAATTTCATAAATTCGAATCTATTTAGAATAAGACTTGAATTTTATGAAATATGATATGCTGAATCGTTTGTTAATATTTGCTGATATGTGACATAACTTCCTTACGAGTTATAACGTTTTTAATCTATCTGTGTCGATAATCACTCGTTATTCTGATATTACATGCTAATTCTCTGTTGCTATTCCTATTCCTCGCATGCACTTTATTTTCTCGTTACTCTCTTTATTCTGCGTCAACGGAATCTGTTTTCAAACGAATTGGATGAGATTTCAACTTTTAATGTTCCGACGATGCTCGCATACATTCGAAGAGTTGTAAAATGTAACGAAATGATATCAGAACCTTCGAATCTATTTAGAACGATGTTCGATTCTTATGTAAAGGTTTCTACTGAAACGTTTGGAAACTTTTTCTGATCTGTGACAATTCTTTTTCGAGTTATTTGGTGTCTTATTCATCTACGTCCAAAATCGCAAATTTTTCTGACCTTATGCGATAATTTTCCTTCTCAAAAAATGTGTAACTTTTTTTTGCATAGAATACAGTCGAAACTATTTGTTTTTATAATTATCGAATAAGAATGATAAAATGCTTGCAATTGATTGACTATGTAAAATTAGATTGTTAAAATTCGGAAGAATAGTGAGTCATAACCGTGCCGATGAGAATGTAGACGAAGAGTGACTAGCTTTGCCGCTTTCTAATGGAGATGAGTCCCGAGATTATTCAATGCACAGGCGAGCCTCTTGCACGCTGTTTGATTATGAACAAAGATTATGATTATATAGTAATTATTAAAGAAAAAATATAAAATATAATTTGAAATTAATGGCGTTTATACGAAACTTTGTTAATTAATTTTTATATGACCATGAATTTATTTTATTATTTGTAAAGATATTTATGCGGTGTTTATCTATTATTTATTAATTGCGAATTATAAGATTTGCCATTAATTATTACAAAGGGCATTGGGTATAACTATTGTTGTTGTATAAGAAAAAGGTACAGTTGGTTTTTAAAGTAAATTGTTATTGGTAACTGAATAATGCTACAATTACTGGTTGCGATTATTACGATCGTTATTTACAATTACATAAAAAATCGAAGAATTGTCTGAGAGCCACTGCTTACGCTACTCACTTGAGAGTCGCTGCTTATTGGCCTAATTGGATATTATTTATTAGAATTAATGTATGTAGTTGATTATCATTTTATGAAACACTTATTTAAGTAATCGTTTATTATATAATAAATGCTATGTTTATTACTGGAAAATATAGTGTAATAATAAGAATAATAAAAATTAATTATTGGTAAATCTAGTGTGTTGTTAACCGTCGGTTTAAATTGTTATTCATTATACATTATAATGTAATATCATTATTATTATTGCCGTTGATTATTTAGAAGTATTTCATTGTTTATCATTAGTTACCGACAAATGAAGTTACCGATGGGTAGTTATTTCCGACGATTAACTATTATTAACAGTCTACGTTTATCCGTGGTGACATTACCGATAGTAATGTCATTGTTTGTATGATACCAATGGTATGGTTACCGACGGATTGAATATTCTTGGCGGGATTCACCCCGTCAATATATTTCGTCGATATAACGTAACAGACTTTTATTAATATAGTCTAAGGAAATATTAACATTACTGATGGTATTAGCTTTTAAAGTGGCTACATACTAGTTGGTATACTGAGTAAATAAAGTAGATGAGATTATTAAGATATTTGATAAGCTAACGTAATTAATGTGATATAATAAAAAAGCTTAATTAAAATGTAATTGTAGATGACATTGCTCAACACAATAATTATTAACCAGTATGGTTAGGAAGAAAAATTTCATAATAACGAATGTAAGACTATATATATATGCTTTAGATTAAAGTAAGAAATATACTGCCAACGGTTCGAAATATAAGTGAAACTTTATTGTATATCACCTCATGTGATACTTATAAGGAAGGTATTATGAGTATACTATCTAGGATTAAAAGCATAGAAACCTGCGTAATGTTACGGATTACGTAGAGTTTTATAATGTCCTGAGATACTGTTTGTATTTTATCCTCGTATGCAATTTAAACTTCTTTTCGAGTTATTTGATTTCTTATCTATCTGTGTCGATAATCGCACATTTCTCGTATTACATACTAATTCTCCGATGCTGTACGTATTGTATCCTTACATGGAATTTATTTTCTTTTC